CTGGGGCGCAGAAGCCATCAGAATACACGCTAAAGTTGATCACTGCACTCAGTCACTGAAATGTCCGTCCTTCCTGCCTCCACTGCTTCTTGGAGGAAATATTCTGCTCTTCTCTTGTCCCAACACTGAAAGCTGAGATGTGCCCTCTGTTATTTGGCTCCATGGACATTCATATAAGCTTAAAAAATAAATAAAAACATCATGTGAATAAAGCCTCCTGCAAGGCAAGTATGATGCATCAGTGAGCAAGGCTGGCTCCCAATCAAGACAGCCTGGCCTGGCACAGGCAGTTCTCTGACGATGGTGACTGCGTGGTCCCCAAAATCCTGCAGAGGTGCCAGAACAATAGGACAGGCAACTGTCCTCGGCACCCTCCTGGCACTTCTGAGCAGCGGATGACAGCAGTGGAAGCAGCCATGCGTGCTGTCTATCCGCCACATTCCTGGGACTCGTCCAGGGGTCGCCATCACCTGGCCCGACTGGCCTCACTGGCGGCCTGTCTTTTGTCCTGTTTGCCCCCAGCCACTAACGTGGCTCAGTTTCTCAGCCTGGCTCTGAATACAGACTAAAGAGACCCCAAGTCAAAACTTCTGACTTTTAGCTCCTCTGGGCTCCAGCCCAGGACCTGCTGCTTTGCTAGCCCGTGGGTTTGGGGCAAGTCCTCTCGCTGCTCTGGGCCTCAGTTTCCCCTTATGCCAACGCACCTATCGGCAGGCCCCGGTGAGGTATGGATGGTCAGCGCTGGGTGAGACCAGGACCCTGCTGCGTTGCTATGGCTGTGATTCTGGTCCAAGCCATTTGCAAGACAATTAAGCAACAGGAATCATCAAGATCCATACCCCACACCTGTGGCTCAACATGTGCCCCCCCCCCCTCTTGATTTCAGTCTATCTGCATCAATTTACATTGTCTAAATTTCATGCAAAGCATACGATGCGGATATAGTACTTCTCCTACAATAAAAACCAACGGTGTATTAATAATCTTAAGCTAAAAGTCAATCCACCTATTCTTCACATGGAAATCATGGCAAAAGGCAGCTGGGAAAGTGATCTGGTCCCCAAGACATGGACTCCAGGATGACTCATCTGGAAGGCCCCTTAGAGGACATCTGGTAAAGTCCCCATTAAACAAAGAGGAAACATACACACATGCCAGGATCAGCATGACCTTAGTGACTGTCAAAAGACACCATCATGCCAGCAAAATTGACCCTTTGTAACTTTAATGGCTATATTTGCAACTGTAGTATAAATGTGAGGTCTTGCAATAGCTTCAGGTAATAAACCTTTTAAATGCATAAATGCAAAAGGAAACGGTCAAATATTACATTGCACCTGCATTTCAAGACACATCCCAGCTGCCCCACTGGAGAGGGTATCTGTGAATTTCACGTACAGACCAGCATCCCTTTCTTTCCACCGCAATCATGCCACAGCTGCCAATCATGAAGCTCCAGCTCCCTGCCCCACAGGCATGTGATCTAAGCTGGGCCAATCGGGGTCATTTTAAAGGAATGATTGGCACTTGGGAAGGAGGGCTCTCTCTTCCCCGGAGATTAAGACCAGAAGAACCATAATGCCTGGACCATTTTCCTATTGTACAGAGGCCACCTGAGGCCAAACCCAGAGAAAAGAGAGATCAAAGGAAGATACAGCCTCGGCCCTGGATCCAGCCCGGTGGTTCTCAACCTGTGGGTCACGACCCCTTTGGGGGTTGAACGACCCTTTCACAAGGGTCGCCTAAGACATAACAATAGCAAAATTACAGTTATGAAGTAGCAACAAAAATAATTTTATGGTTGGGGGTCACCACAACACGAGGAGCTGTATTAAAGGGTCGCGGCATTAGGAAGGTTGAGAACCACCAAGCCACACCTAAAGCCAGCAACCCCTGCGCTTCCCAGGCTGGAGAGCCAGACAATCTCTCTTTTTGCTGCAATGTAATTGAGTTTACAAACAAAATAATTATAAACAATACTCCCGACTGAATGTTCACATCAAAAAATCCTATTTCCCCAAATCACCCTCATTCACTGGCCCACTTAACCAAACTGAGAAGACTTCTAGATTAAAAGGAACTCAGCAGCCCTGGCCAGTTTGGCTCAGCTGTTAGGGCGTTGGCCTGCGGTCCAGAGAGACCCGGGTTCGGTTCCTGCTAAGGGCATGTACCTCGGTTGCAGTTTGTCCCCAGCCATGGTTGGGTCATGCAGGAGGCAGCCACTCGATGTGTCCCTTTCACGTTGATGTTTCTCTCTCTCTCTCTCTCTCCCTCCCACTCTATCTGAACAAAAAATAGAAAAATGTCCTCAGGGGAAGTTAAAAAAAAAAAAGGACCTCAGCAGACTGCTAATGGGTACAGGGTTTTCCTTCGGGGTGATGAAAATCTTCTGGAGCTAGGCAATGGCAATGACTGCACAACACTGTGAACGTACTTACTGCCACTGAATTGTGTACTTCAAAATGGCTAAAATATCCATTTGATATTACTGTATTTTATCAATACAATCTGCAAGATTCAAAACACTGTTCTCACTGGACACATCCTGGCAAACATGCTCTCCCTGCCTGTTCCCTTTCCTCCCGGCCGACCCTGGGCTGGCCAGTGAAGAGAGTTAACTAAGTGTGGATGGCAGAATTCGGCAGAAGACCTTGGCCATGGAACATGCCTTCTTTTGCATTTTCCATTCTGCTGCCTCCACCCACCCACCCACCAATGGAAAGCTGGTTAACCATTAAAACTATTTATTGAACATTTACTATGTCCCAGGCATAGGGCTCACCCTTTTAGAAAGTAATCTGACAACCCATACATTTTAAAAATGATCATCACTCCTATTAATTCTGGAATCCCACCTCCTGAAAATGTATTCTAAAGAAACACCTCATCAGAAGAGAGAAAGGAGCTGCATGTATTAAAATGCTGGTTGAAGCATAAAAATGAAATGGAAAGCAATTCACAGGGCCAACAAGAGGGGAACACTTGGTACATTTCAGTGCACTTGTGAAATGGACCAGCCAAACATTCATTACAGAGGCTCTGCAGTCACATAATGTATGAAGTTATGTTAAGTTTTTTAAAAAAAAAGAAGCCCTGGCCGGTTTGGCTCAGCGGTTAGAGCGTCGGCCTGCGGATCAGAGAGACCGGGTTCGGTTCCCGCTAAGGGCACGTACCTCGGTTGCAGTTTGTCCCCGACCCTGGTCGGTTGTGCGGGTGGCAGCCACTCGATGTGTCCCTTTCACATCGATGTTTCTCTCTCTCTGTTCCTCTCTCTCCCTCCCACTCTACCTGAACAAAAAAAAAAAAAAGAAGAAGAAGAAGAAGAAGAAACCAACAGGTGCACAGAGGTGGGTGAGCTCGCCCACAGAGCTGGTCAGGAAGATGGGAAAATGGGCCGTGGTAATGGAATGATAGGAACTTTTTTCTCATTACTTTTTTTTTTTTTCATCTTCACCCGAGGACATTTTTCCAATTTTTGTATAGGTAGAGTGGGAAGGAGAGAGAGGGAGAGAGAGAGAAACATCGACGTGAAAGGGACACATCGAGTGGCTGCCACCCGCACGACCAACCAGGGCTGGGGACAAACTGCAACCGAAGTACGTGCCCTTAGCGGGAACCGAACCCAGGTCTCTCCGGACCGCAGGCCGACGCTCTAACCGCTGAGCCAAACCGGCCAGGGCTCTCATTACTTTTGAAATAAAAGTTTTATTTTGGGATGATTTTTGATTTACGGAAAAGTCGCAAGAGACAGTGCCAACAGTTCTCATATACCCTGCACCCCAATTTCACAATTATGAACATCTTGTGTTACTGTGGTACACTCATCACAACTAAGAAGCCAGTGTTGTTAGAACATGGCTGTAACTAAACTCCAAACTTCATTCGATTGCACCAGTTTTTCTGTTCTGAGAGCCCATCCAGGATACAACATAACACTAACCCTATTTGTGTGTGTGTGGGGGGGGGGGGGGAGAGAGAGAGTGTTTATATTTCAATGGCTTCTGGTATATTCACAGATATGTACAACTATCACCAGTCAATTTTACATTATTTTTATCACCTGAAAAACATACCCCCTACCCATTAGCTACCGTATCTCCCTACCATGGGTTTTGAGGAATTCATCTGCAGAACGGACAACCCTTTGGTAAGGAAAGAACTCTCTCCCTTAGCTCCCTGCCCTTGGTTATTCTTTCTGGAATTCAGATTTCCTTTACTCAGCATGACACCGTACCCTAGTCCCAACCTTGGAAATTTCCAAAACTGTCAATTTTCATTATGTCCAAAATGAAAAAAAACAAACAACTTTACAATAGAAAGCCCGACAAGTAGAACTGATCGGAAGCTCAGAGACAAACCGAGGGCATGCCCACCTTTCCTCTTTCCTTGCAGACAAATAGGGACTTGGGAATAAGTCGGCCCTGACCAGCGCCCAGCTACCCAGTCTAGGGTCTGTGACACTGCTGATACAGCCTTGGTCATCCTATAGCCACTATAACGACCATAGAGCCCCTGCTGGCCCTCATAAAGTTGACCTTTATTCATTCAACAAGTGCTATCGAGTGAGTACCTACTGTGTGCCAGGCAGTGTTCAGAGAGGGCATGCATTAATTCTCACATTGGGTCCTCAGGGCCATCATAGGAAGTCAACCACGATCACCCAGGATCTGAACAGACAGTGGCCACCATTTCAGCCCTTCCTGCAGCCCCTTCTCCACGAGCCACCTGTACCAATCTCAAAGGTAAACTCGTAGCTGCCATGCTTCTATTAGGTGATGGTCAGGAGCACAAATGCAGCTACCTGCCTCCTGGCCCGCACGCTGCAAACAACTGGTAGCATTTCACCAGTGGCCGTGGTGGTCCCGAGACAAAGCACGGCCTCCGTGAAGTCACAGCTAAGTCACAGTCCCAGGAGCCAAACTCAGCCCTCTCTGTCCCTGCTGGGTGGTGATTTTTTTTGTGTGTGACCCCAGATCCAGAAGGAACACAAGGCCAATTACCTGCACGACCTCCTTCACCAGGGTCTTGTCCGTGCCGGTTTTGGCTCGCTGCAGCCCGCTGACGTTCTCGCCGATCCACGTGATGAGGGCGAACTTGGACCTCTTGCTCATGGCGTCCCCCGTGGTGAAGCGCACAAAGGCGAACAATCGGATGTCATCTGCAGCCAAAAGCAACAAGAGGGCATAGGGCTCAGTTAGAATACCCCAAAACCACGTCTCCGAGGGGGCACTATAAGCCAGGAGTGCACCCAGAGTGGCCCAGCAGGGGCCCAACACTGACCTTGGCCAACATTCTATCATTTGATTCCATCAACAGCACCCAGGCTTTGACACACATTTCACAGATGGGAAAGGGAGGTTCAGAGGGGTCACCTGACCCTCCCCAGGCTACACAGGTCATTGGAAGCCACGCTGGGATGTGAACCCAGCCTTTCTGGCTGCTGCACCTGCAACCCTCCCTCCCATCCCTCGGACAGTCAAGGTTCACGTTCTGGATCTTCTTTAGGAAGAAGTTTGTCCACTCTTCTTATCCCCAGCCTTTGACTAGGAATGAGAAAGCCACGTGGAGATGGGAACTGGGCTGCGAGAGGGGCTGGGGGGGAGGAAGTGGCCTTTATTTTGGCCTGGGATACAGCTCTGCGCCCACTGGGCATGTCTGGCTTATGGTTAGACAATCAGGCCATTAAGAATTCTGAATATTCTGCCCTGGCCGGTTTGGCTCAGCGGTTAGAGCATCGGCCCGCGGACCAGAGAGTCCTGGCTTCAGTTCCCGCTAAGGGCATGTACCTCGGTTGCAGTTTGTCCCGCCCTGTTGGGGTCATACGGGAGGCAACTACTCGATGTGTCTTGTCTCACGTCGATGTTTCTCTCTCTCACAACCCCCCCCCCCCCTTCCCGCTCTATCTGAAGATAAATGCAAAAGTGTCCTTGGGTGAGGATAAATAACAAAATAACTAACTAAATAAATAAGAGAATTCTGAATATCCATCCATTAAGTGTGTTCTGCTTGTTATAGCTTATACAGTTGTCCCTCGCCACTTCGCACTTTGACTTTCGCAGTTTCACTCTATAGCGGTTTTTTCAAATATATTCATTAAGAAGTTGATCGAGACAGTGAAAATGATACAGCACGCGCTCAGCTGTCTGAGTCAATTATACACCCCCATATTACAGTTAAAATTAAAATTACTGTACATATGGACTGTAGGCCTATGTATTCGAGCACCCCAGGAATCCTTCAACGCCAGGTGCAACCGCTAGAGTCTGGAACGGATTAACCGCGATAAACCAGGGAGACTGTATATTCATCTTTATTAAAATAACTCTAGGGGTTATTTTGTTCCATTGACCACACTTATTTCAATATCGTCCCTACCACAGTCCACCATGCTAAGTTCTTCTGACCACCCCTCTCTGCGTTACCAAAATGTTCTTGAATTTTAAAAGTGCCATTTGTGCCCTGGCCGGTTTAGCTCAGCAGTTAGAGCGTTGGCCTGCGGTCCAGAGAGACCCGGGTTCGGTTCCCACTAAGGGCATGTACCTCGGTTGCAGTTTGTCCCCAGCCCTGGTTGGGTCGTGCGGGTGGCAACCACTCGATGTGTCCCTTTCACGTCCATGTTTCTCTCTCTCTTCCTCTCTCTCCCTCCCAGTCTATCTGAACAAAAAAATGGAAAAATGTCCTCAGGTGAGGATAAATAAATAAATAATAGTGCCGCGCGTGCGTGTGTGTGTGTGTGTGTGTGTGTGTGTGTGTGTGTATCCCCTGGACAGACTAGGATTGCTCCACCTCAGCACTGCTGACACTTAGGAGTGATCATTCTCCATGGGGGGGGGGGGGGGACACCCTGTGCACTATAAGGTGTTGAGCAGCACCCTGGCCTCCACCCACTAGATGCCAGTATCATACCTCCCCAGCCTGTTATGACACCAAAAATATGTCCAAACATTGCCCAGTGTCCCCTGGGAGGTAGAACCACCCCTAGCTGAGAACGAATTTCTAGATATAGTCTGTGTCCCCATTTAATCAGGATCCCCTTTGTGCTGTCCACGAAACTTCTGGGCTTTCCATTGAGAAATCACACGTCCCTACTCTGCTTAATTCCTAAATAGTTCCTATGTTAACTGTACCTATCAGTGAGATCCCATTATAGTCCCTAACTGGCAGAGGCTGGCACACAGGGATACTACTGGTTTGGGTTATTCATTTTATACAGCCACCCTGCTCAGCATGGAGCCCCTGACTGAGAATCGAACCCGCGACTCTTTGGTCCGTGGGCCGACACTCTAATCGCTGAGCCACACCGGCCAGGGCCACAGCTTTTCTTTAAGGAAACAGATCACTATGACCACGCACCCTGGCACAGCAGCTGTGTATAAAGCACACTTACATTGTACCACCTCATTTGGTCTTCATTACGATGCTGTATACTGGGTGATGGGAGGTGACTGTCATCACCCCCATCACCATCCAAATCACCATTTGACAGGTGAGGCTCAGAGTTGTGTGATATGCCCAAAGTAGCACTAATGACAGAGCCAGACTCAAAGCCGAGGTCCTGGACAGCTCGGGTGTGTCTGCCCACAGCCTCGGGAGCCAGTGGGTGCCCATCGTGGGACCTGACCATGGCAGTCGGTGGATGACAGGCAGTGGGGACCGGGACGAAAGGACGGTCTCAGGGGCCCTTCAGAGGCCAAATCTACAAGGCTCGATGGCCGCCCAACTAGCCATGGGAAAGAAGAAGTCCAGGCCCTGGCCGGTTTACCTGAGTGGTTAGAGCATCGGCCTGCAGATGAGGGTCACAGGTTTGATTCCCAGTCAAGGGCACATACCTGGGTTGCAGGTTTGATCCCTGGCCCCAGTCGGGGTCATGCAGGAGGCAACCAATCAACGTGTCTCTCTCACATCGACGTTTCTCTCTCTCCCTCCCTCCCTCCCACTCTATCTAAAAATCAATGGGAAAATATCCCCGTGTGAGGATTAACAACACATAAAGAAGGCACCCAAGAGATTCCCACATGGGAGTGAGCTGTTTCTTACTCCCAAGGACTCCCTTAGTCCCCTAACATCTGCGCCACAGTTGCCTCATCTGTAAAATGAGGCTATATTTTTTTTGTCCTTCCTACTTTTTTCTTTATTGAAGTAAAAATCACATAACATAAAATTCACCATTTTAATTATCTTAAAGCATAAAATTCAGTGGCATTTAGTACGTTCCCAATATTGTGTGACTGTCAGCACCGTTTAAGTCCAGAACATTTGCATCACCCCCAAAAGAAACCCCATCCCCAGCAGCGGTCACTCCGCACCCTCCCCTCCCCCAGCCCTCAACAACACTAATCAGCCTTCTGTCCCTGGATTGGCCTGTTCTGGGCATTTCACACAGATGGGGTCATACACCATGTGGTCTTTTGTGTCTGACTTGTGGCACTCAGCATGTTTTCAAGGTTCATCCACATTGCAGCGTGGTGAGCACTTCATTCCCGTCATGGTTGACTAATATTTCATTGTGTGGATATGCCGCGATCTGTTCGTCCATTCATCTGCCGCTGGGCGTTTGGGATGTTTGCAAAGTGGGGCGCTTCACACCACCCTCATTAGTGGATCGCGAGGACTGAAGAGGAACAGAGCTGTGAAAACCGCCCGGGGGGCAGGCCTCCGCCATGGGAGACTCTTTCCCCTGAAGCTGCAGCCCCCGGGTAGCGAGCACAGGAAATGCGACTGGTGCGGCTGAGGAACTGAGATTCGCGCAGCCACCCGTGGCCGGAGCAGCCAGAGCGTGGGGGCGAGTCGCAGGGCCCTTCCCAGCATTCACGCTGAGTTTGGGAAGCCAGCGCATTGTTTTGAGCAGTGTTATTAGAAGGGAAGGAAAACCAGCACCGAAGTGTTTAATTAAATTGCAGCCTTGACCCGAGGGGGAGGTGGGGCCGCACGTCAGGTGCCAAGGCAACACAAGCAAAAGAACAGGCCGTCTGTTTCCATGGGAACTGCTCTAGTTCCCATTTCCACATTGGTCAGCCGGGACATTTGGGTTCTGACAGCATTTGGATCCCAATCGCCCGATCTCTGGCCAAGGCCTCCATGTGGGAAAGTTGCAAATCGTATGTCCCAAGTACCAGCTCAGGACCTGGCACAAGGCAGGTAAGTAAGCCCCACCCCCACCCCCAAGGACATGGGGAGCCTGGCCTCTGTGGACCTTCCAGAACCACAGGCCAATGTCATTGAAATGATCATGGCAGGTGAGGTTGTTTTCCTGAGTGGCTGTTGGACGCTTATCTGACAATGGTTTGACCAACAAGATTGCTCATGTTTTTGAAAATCCAAGAAGCACGTTTTGGTTACAAATGTTTGCTGCTCCAGATTTGGCCCAACACTGAAAAGTTTTCTGAGTCTCAAATGAAAAACCTGTTCTTCTGAGCAACATTTTCATAGCTGCCCACACAGCCCTGAAGCCTCTCCCTCCCCCGTTCACTACTGAAGGAGGAGGTAAGGCCACTCTGACCTCAGGCTTCTCCGTGCAGGAGAAAGTTCAAGATCGCAGACACTGGCGGGGCTGCCTTCCTCTCCCGGACAAAAGAGGCAGACCCCACACACACACAGCCGCGGTATCACAACAGAAGTGAAAAAACATCACATCCCCTCATTTATCCCCTGCTAATATCCCCCTCACACACAGGAAAATGCGGGTACATCAACTGAGAGAGGCACAGCCACGCCTCAGCATATATGTGTATAGTGTGTGTGCATGTGTCTGGGTGTGCACGTGCACATGTGTATGTGTAGTGTACACTAAGATGGCAAAACTGGCCAGGAGAGAGTTGATACTTGAGGTTGCTGTCACCCTCATGGTGCCCCTTGGTCTGCCAATGGGACATCTTTTCAGACTGAGGTTCAGGAGTTGAGTGTAGCTCGGGATGACCCCAATGGGAGAAGCCTACACACCCACACCAGAAGGAGACACCCCGAACCCCCTCTGCCACAGGCGTCTGCATAACTGCCTACAACTACTGGGCTGCTCACCCTCCACTTTTGGCTCTATGGTATCCAGGTTGAGTCCAAGTTCCAAAATCCATTAGAAAATCATCCCCACTTTGTACCAGCTCGGTGACTTTGAATGTCTCCAAGCCTCAGTTTTCTTATCTGAAAAATGGGTCACATACC